CTTTCTGCTGGTACTTTCTTTTTGAAAGCCAAGGCTTCTTGACAAAAGAGGAGAAGCTAGATTAAGGACTAAGCCACAATTCAAGTAGTTAAACAAATTTTGCTTGGTTTCTAAAGAATTTACTGGTTACTGATGAGATAAAGGAAAGAGGCCAATGATAATTTATGAGCACATCCCTGGGGGATTTCCCCTGCTACTAGGAAATAATCAAAAGATTATTTTTGTAGCAGTTTGCAAGACCTTTAACTTACATTATCCCACTTTAATTCTCATCCTAGTGATGAACAAATATCACCTCCCTCTTAGTTTTACTCATTATAATTGGAAAAAGTGACAATCATAATATTTAAGTTATTATATCCTAGTTCAAAAAGGGATAGAGCTACAGTAAACTCTGATCTTATAACTCCAGCTTTGACTCAAATGAGTGCCTTTATTTTACTTTCATACACTAGTTTTACAAATAGTGCTTCAGTATTGCTTAAGCTACAGTTTCAAAGCAGAGAGACAAAGAGAATAATAGAGACAAAGAAAGACAGAGAATATACAAATACATCTGCCAAATGCCACTACTGTGGCAAACATAGTTCCAGATATAAAGTAATTCCCCAGTCCCTTCCACTGTCAGTATATTGTTCTACATGATCCCAAGTCATCTTATTCCAAAACCTTATAACAAGTCATGAAACATTTGTAGTAAAAGAAGGCACTTTGTGGGAAGACATGAACATGTTTTTATGTGTACCATATTTTCTGGGCTTCTGAGAGAGAGAAAGAGTCAAGTTGGCCTCAAACTCACTATGTAGCCAAGGATGACATTGAACTCATACTGTGAGTTTTCTGACCACACCCCCCCAACAGACTCAGCTACCAAATAACCCACCAAACCAGCCCTAGTCTTAATTTCCACTAATCATCAGCTGCACACAGGGACATACATTGTGTAAGGGAAGATAAAACCAGAGAGATCATCATAGTTAATAGAGTTTTTATTTTGCATAACTTGTTCTTTGTAGTACAATGTGTATTTCTTCTTTTGGGTCTATCAGGAAAGAAAAAAAAACCTATACAAAGGACCTCCCTCATCCATACTAACCAAATCCCCTCTTTTTCCTCACACCAAAACCTTCGAAGTCCACATACAGAATCATACAAACACATACATAGTAGGCTGAAATAGAATTGTTTACACTTGATTGAAAAGAAGAGAAATGTGGGTTCTTTGTGAAATGTTTCCAGTTATTTATACAATGTTATAATAGTGACATCCTCTACCACAAAACAGGTATTAGTTATAAGACTTGGTCTAAATTGTTGCTTTAAAATACAGAGTCATATCCAGATGTGGCTATACTACTGAGTCCCTCAAGTGTAGCTAGAGCACGTAAAGGATATATTTTTATGCTTTATTAATTTATATTCATGTTTAAGTAACTGCATGTGGCTAGAAGCTATAGCACTGAACAGAATGTAAAAAAAAAATGTCTAGCGTAGATGATCAGCATCGTCTGTCCTGAGTGGTCTATGCTATTCTATTCTTCAGGATTTTCAATCTCACTCTAATGGAGTCACACTGTCCTTAACTCACTAGGCATAACAACTCAGCAATACTTTATACTTACAGGCTAAGTACTGGAGCAGAATAAAGGAAATCAATTGCTGAAGGCCATGTTTCAAAAGCCAAACTGATATTTTCCCCATTTTCTGTAAACAAAAACCATAGATGAAACATGCTTCCCCAATACCATGTGTATGTGTGTGTGTTACTACAAGTATAGTAACACTCTTTACCCATTTTTTCAAAGCACCATTTGTACTGCTTTGCAAAAACAATTTCAGTGCTAAAAGGGAAATTACATCTCTTAACTTTGTGGTGAATGAACGTTCTTGTTGCTGTTGCATCATTGTGATCAAAACATCTGACAGAAAGAACTTAAGGGAGGAATACTTGTTTTGTCTCACAGTATTGGGGAATTTCAGGACGGGGAAGGGGGTGATAGTGAATTAGTCTCAGTTGTGATGGGAGAGCACATGACAGAGACTGTTTATATCATGGCAGACCAGGAAAGCTGAACCAGGAACTAAACTTCATTACCTGCCTCTAGTGACCTACTTCCAACAGTTTGGCCTCAGCTCATAACGGCTCCACAGCCCTAAAATGCTGTAAGCTGACAAACAAGTATTCAAAATGTGAGTGTATGGTAAGTGAATGAGAGACCTTGGAACACTTAGTTCTAAATGAGACATGTCCATCAAGTCCCTCCCCTCAGAGCTCAGAGAACTCTGTAGAGGAGGAGAAAAGATTGTAAGAGCCAGAGGGGATGGATGACTCCAAGGAAACAGTGTCCTTTAGACACAGCAGGGCTATCAAACATATGAACTCACAGAAACTGTGGTAGCATCCACAGGGCCTGCACAGATCCAAGTCAGGCAGAGTCCCTGCACTTATATGGGGAAGTGGACACAAGCTCCCATCCCCAACCCAGAAGCCACCTCCAATTAACAAGGACTCACAAAGGAAAAATTAGGATTTTTTTCCAATAGACTTTCACTGAATATACAAACCACACTTAAGGGCAGGCTCCATGGCGAGCACTAGATGGTCAACACAAAACAAATGTAAAAATATTTTTGTTGATTATTTTTGTCTCATATTGCTTTGTTTGGGCATTTTTGTTTTGGTTTTATATCTGCTTTGTTTTGTTTTGTTTTATTGATCTCTTGCTTGTATAGTTTCTAAGACTGTGTTTTTAGTGTGTGTGTGTGTATGTGTGTGTGTGTGTGTGTGTGTGTGTGTGTTATTAATATGTTGGCTATGTCACAGAATAAGCAGATAGGAAAGCTAAATTGCAAGATGTTGGAGAGAAGTGTATAAAGCTATTTTTTTATTTTCTTCACATATGTGTGTATATCATTTCTCATGTTCTTTCTTTGTTTTTTTTTCTCATTTGTTATTTTGTCTGTCTGTTTGCTTGATCCTGGCTTTTGTATTTTTTTTAAATTTGCCTATCTGTTTTCTTAAGAAAGAGAGAGAGAAGCAATAGAGTTGGAGATACAGGGTGTAGAGGAGGATTTGAGAGATTAGGAAAGAGAAACTTTTATCAGAATATATTGCATGAAAACAACTTCATTTACAATAAAGAAAGAAAATGATAAAAAGAGAACCTACGAAAGACAGTTTAGATGGAAGCAGAAATACATCTTGTGAGAGCTTCTTCTCCTGTGTTCTATTTTCTTATCTGCAATATGAGAAAGCCGAACACTATTATTTATTAAACAAACTAAACAAAGCAATGAACTAACACCTGGAGAAAACAATAATAAAACAGGAATGTCATATCCATTTCAATTAAAATTAAATCTAAACAAGGTCATTTTCCAGTCCCCTTCAGCTCTGCATCTGTATTCTCTCCATAGAAGATCTGGCATCTTACAGTTGGTGTGTGACTACCACATGACTGAAAACCCCTTAACTTTCACCTAAGTGGTGCTTTACTAACATAGATTCATCATCTAATATATATGTGAGGAACCATTTTCCAGTGCCCTCCTTACTTGATCTTCTCTACCACACTTCTTAAAATGTCAGAACTGAAAAGGATCTAGGAAAATGAGGAGGGGTAAGTAGGGAGGTAATAGCAGAGAGATGTCAGTCTACCCAGTTCAACGTCTTCTGAAAATGTGAAACTGGATGGAGAAGAAAGGATGAGGAGGGGAGGAAAGGAGAAATGGAATCCAGTCAATTCCTGAAAAAACAGTAAGATTGGAGCAGCTAATAGAATGTCAAGTCCCATTGGGGCTGAGGGAAAGCCTGTTCTTCCCATCATTCATGAACAGAAACACAACTAAAGAAGTAAAGAAGTAGGGGGCACCCCCTTATGCCATGCCAACAGTAGTGCTATCTTAAAGCCCTTTTCCTCAGGGTCTAAATATAAATACCCCTTCTGCCATAATTCAAACTCCTTGAAAACAACACATACTTGAGGAGAAGTAAAAATTTATACTCTGTATCTCTTATAAACTTCCTTGTAGATCTCAGGGGATCCCAATTCCATTGAATAAATACAGGCTAAAATAGCAGTAAAATTCCCAAGGATAGGATTAAAGTGTGCTCTTGAATCCAAGTATTTTCTTCCCTTTTAAATGTTCTTGGATGACCTTTTCTCCCAAGCATCCCCATTACCACTGCATCCAAGGATTCTGTGGAAGAGGATGAAGACTGACTGTAAAAGTAATTTCTTTCTTGTAGCCCATAAGAAGCCACTGTTAGACTGTTATAAGGACATTTACAAGTCCTTCCAAGTCCTATTAATATCACAAGTCCTATTAATAATGAGGCTACATTTACACAATGTTGAATATATACATACGTATGTATGTATGTATGTAGGTATGTATCCCAACACAGGTCGTTCATAGTAAAATTCAATGTAGTTCATTTACTCAGTTTACTTCAAAGTCTTATCAATTTGTTTTCAGCATCAAATCGCACCTCAGGTTCTAATGAACACACACTAGATTGGCATGTCCTTTTTCTCCTAGGATATGAGATACCAAAAAGAAAGAGGCTTTTTAAAGGCTTTTTTAAAAATTGTTATAGAATCACAAATGTCAGGAAGGAGGAACACACACACAGGCAATGTGGGAGGGAGGGGATATGGATAAAGAGAAGGAAAGAGGAAATATATTTGAAGATCGAGTTTCACCTAATGCCAGATATATTAGCATATACTGGTAGGATTAACTTCTCCCCGCCTACAAATAGCCTACCACCCTCCAGTCATAAAAATCAGAGAGAAGTAAACTGAACAGCAGACACTCCTCCTTATTTCCCACCTCAGAGCAGCTGCATGACTTCCTGAGGATTCTATTGCAGTAGCCAGAGATAAACACTCATTTGTGCAGATAACCTGCAAGTCTCTAGTTTCTATTCTTCTTCCCTCTCTGTTCTTTCCCTTCCCCCACTTTGAACTAGGGAAGCTAAATTCTGGCGCGTTTGAAGCAGCTTGAGAAGTACTAAGAAAGAGGAAGAAGAATCGGGGTATATCGGCTAGCAAATGTGCTATGCCCTGACCTCTCTTCTCTGGAAAAGAAACTCTCCTAAAGAGCAGGAGCCCTGTGAATGGAGTGGACCATCCAGAGTACCCAGATTTTTTTTTGCAGCTCATCATCCAGAGTTAGCTCACCGGGGGACTAGCAGATTGGAATTTCTGAAGATTTGGATCTTGCTTCAGGGAGCAATTTCAAAAGGACCTTAAACAGTGAAGCTTGGAATCAGCAGGTAAGAATTCGGCGGGTGGAGCAGAGTTGAACTGATGGCAGATTTTACCAAATACCTCAGAGATTGGGGATAACTGTTCTGCCTTATCTGCCTTGAATTAAGTTGCTAATCTGAACATCTGAATTCTTTCGGCTTTGGGTCTTGGCCAGAGATCTGATCATCTAATCAGCCTGTCAGCAAGTGTAGCTCACTGCCTCTGTTGCAGGCTCCAAATGACAAACTGTTGAGGTAGCATTGCTCAAGCCTCCAGCACCTTTACAACTCAGCCAGAAGTGTGAAACAGACCTTAAGCTCCCATCTTAAGGCTACCGCGGAGCTTCTGTGATGCGGTGGTAAATGCCTTTAAAATGTGGAAAGAATGTGTTGAGCAGCTGCTGCAGGTAAACCAAACAATTGTAGGCTGACCTAGAATTTTCACAAGGCAGTTTCACACTTTTTTTTCTTCTTACTTAATTCACTTTACACGCTGCTCACAGTTTCACACTTTTAAACTTCTCGGCATCCTATAATTGAGACAGGATGGTCCTTTCCTTCCACACCCTCATTCTCCTCATAGTTACCCTCCCCAGCGCCATCTCTTAGGTAAAAGAGAAAAGTGACCCAAATAGGTTACTACAATACACTATGCTTCTAGAAACTGGCAATTTGACTAAAGACCCCAAAAGAAAGCCCCATCAAGTACAGATAACTAGTAGAAATACCTATGACCTACTTTGTAACTTAGTATTAAACTCACTAGATTAACATTAGACTAAGAAATCATACAATTTAATCAACTGCCTAGAAAAAGAACGTTTTTTTTTTCTTTCTTCTTCTTAGCTATTTTCAATGATATGCGCTACCTCTTTAAATCCAGTGATTCTAAATCCCTGTCTCTGCAACTGTTTTGAAATCAAGGAAATCAAGCTACCATAAATTTAAAGGGCAACTAACTTGGATCTGTTTGTATAATGCTTTAAGAATGATAGGAAACATTTCATAAAGTTTTATAAAGTACCATGACCAGAGTATATTTTAGATGAAATTTGTGTCTACATATTTTTAAATTTATCATATCTGTGGCTTCAAGTTTAAGTCACTGAAAAGTTGTTTCCTGTCATTATATTACAATTAGTGCCCCAATTGTGACTAAAATCTACCTGTGTCTACACAGCAAATAAACATAATCAAAAAATATTATGTTTACATCTATCTCTTTTAATAATGCTGCTCCTCATTCTCTGAAAATCCTAATTATGCTGGTCATTCAAGTTCTACAAAAAAATAATCTAGACCATGATCCAATCAATCAAAATGGATGATGTCACAGATTGGGGCAAAACTGAGCCAGTCCTGTCAGAGTCTTCCTGATTTACTGTTATCCTTTTTCACTTCCCATTACCTGCCCCCCCCCAACTTGAATCAAACTTCTGATGCATTTATAAACTCTATATGAGAAGAATGATTCTTCTATTGCCCAGGAAATTATAAATTGGCCTTTGGTGTACCAAGGGCTGATAATGAGAAATCCTAAAGAGGATCCTCAAAGGATATGACAAAATTTAGGGCCTTGATACCATATAATACTTTCTCAATTGGTATAGCTCTCTCTCTCTCTCTCTCTCTCTCTCTCTCTCTCTCTCTCTCTCTCTCTCTCTCTCTGGGTTTCCACATTTATTTTGGCGGTGAGGAGATTGAACACAGGCTTCTGAGCATTCTTAGCAACCACTCTACCACTGAGCTACATCCCAAGCTATTACTTTTGTCTATTTTACTACTCCTCATGTTCCTATTAAAATATTTCAAAGTTATTATAATCCAGCAAAGCAAGTATTGTTTAAGCTTAATACAAACAAAGTCTTACCTCTAAAGTGGATAAGACATAGTCCCTATGCTTAGAGGAAATTACAGTGTTGCTGTCATTATAAAACATAAAGAATGTAACAAGACAATTAAACTAGTGTCATTTTTGATCATTAAATAAGGCCAGAAGTAGTGGAGATGGCTCCAGAAAGGAGGCAAAATTTGGGACTATGCTGAGCAAGTTTGCCTGTGGTAAATGGTCAAAATACTGCAGTATTTGAGTTCTGTTCTAGTACCAGAAATAGCATCAGGGAGAGTGCTTTACACCTGCAGGGTGAACAAAGAAGCCTAATCTGGCTACAGTGAACAGATTGGGTTGAAAAATAACAGAAAGACAATTTGAATAAAAGTTCACTTAGGTTGGTGATAGTGGAAATGGGGTGAAGAAGAACTCAAGAGACGGTAAGAGAAAGACCAAATGGAAGTTAAGGAGCAATTAGATTACAGGCATTGTTAGAATGACAGAGAAGTTACTCCAAGATAGTAATCCTGTAGAACACAGGCAGTGGTATTAAAGCTACTGGTAGCAACAGGTAACCTGGGATAAACGTGGGAATGCAGGACATGATGGCCAGAATCCAAGAACAAATGTCTGATGGTGACTAGAAATTAATGACAGGTAAGAGATGGAAACCAATATTAAGTATACAGAATGTGATAACAAAGGGTAATGAAAACCCAAATTACTGGTGGTGGTGGTTCATACCTTTAATCCAGAGGCAGGAAGATCTCTGAGTTCGAGGTCAGCCTGATCTACAAGGTGAGTTCCAGGACAGCCAGGGCTACACAGAGAAACCCTGTCTCAAAAAACAAACAGAAATGCAAAATATATTTTCAGTGGACGAATTAAGGGCTGAAAATATCAGTGCCTACATCTTCAGGCAAAAGAAAGAAGAGACTCCATAGGAATGTGACCCACAAAAAGATAATTACTATTTTTCCTAAAAGCCAAGAATCTTGAGTGAGTGAAGGAACCAGGATATATATATATATATATATATATATATATATATATATATATATATATGGAGAGAGAGAGAGAGAGAGAGAGAGAGAGAGAGAGAGAGAGAGAAAGAGTTTAAAATTAAAATACAATTACATATTTCCCTGTCCTCCTTCCAACCCTAAAATATACTCTCCCCTCCCCAAATAGGTTATTTTACTAGCTCCCCCGACCTATCCAGCAGTACTAGAATGGTGTCTAATATATACTATGAACACAGAAATGAACATAATATAATGACTCTAACATTATCAAGCATTTGGAACGTCTGCCTCAAGATGTCTTCTAGATTGAATTGATAAGCTCTTTGCACCCTTATAGCAGCTACTCTGAACTGTCCCATGGCAGATCTCAATAAGAAGGAATCTACGCCAGAGAACTAAGAGCTCATCCTATCTTTGACTTTGGCTTTTAACTAGCTGTGTTCTTTCTGACAAGTTACAGAATAACAATATTTTTTGCTATCTTTGTGTATCAAATGCTGTAAAATAATGATAGGAGTATTTTTCTAAATTTATTATAATGACATATGTGAAAGCAACTTCACAACTCAAATCATCCAAAGGGTTTTATTCAAAATGCATTCAATTCAGAAACAAAAAATAATGTCACATAACTGAATGATTGTGGTAGAGTGTAGGGCTAGCTGCTTCTCACTTTCTATACCACAGCTATAAAAAAAAGACCTGTTAATATGCTCCAGGTTGGTCACGAGCAGTGCCTGCCATGCATGTTTCAAAGTGAATTCTGGAAAGTAAAATAGCATTTAAGATCTATTTACTTGATTTTATTAGCCCAACTCCATTAAACCTGCTGATTCTTACAATCAAAAGCTAGTTATCAAAATAACAGTTCTACACTAAGTTCAGAATATAATACAAGCACTCCACTACTGTAACCTAAAGCCATTTATATAATAACAAAGCTAGTCATAATGCATATCCTTTTTCCTATAAATAACTACATACAGTATAAATTTCATACATACACATAACATATATTTATATACATATATATCATATATCCCTTTCTAAAATACAAACACCTTATAGCTACTTTTACCCCTTACCTCAGTGTCATCTGGTTTCTGACCATGTGAACATCTATGTAGTATAATTTAAGGAGTGGTGAGAAAAGCCTTCCTAGCATGAGCAACCACCTGAGAGATCTATTCATACTACTCAGCCCTACAAAAGAGACTGGTTCACAAGGCAGAGTGACAATTTGCTGGTCCTCAGTGAGGAAATACAACTACTACTAAAGTCTGACAGCTTCATTGCAAGTAGTGGCATATCCCCGTGCCTACAGAAGCCAATAGAGGAAGACTTTTGATTCAGTTAAATAAATACAGACATCAAAAGTACATTAATCCGTGTTACAGTCCTGGTCTTAAAACGCCCTCAAATTGTAATTCCTTTTGCCTTTCAGAATTCTTCATAGGTTAGTAGAGTGTTTAAACATAGTTTGCACTGCATCAAAGTCTTGTACTCTACTCCTTCGCTCTATTCTACTCCATGCTTGTCGCATCATTGTTTCTCCCTTCTTGGTGCCCCACTACTCCTTCCTGTAAGTTCAAGAAGTGAGTAGAATTATATGGGTGGAAGGAAAAATATTTAAAATTTCATAAAAGATTTACCAGAGAGGGGACCTTGTAGAAATAAAGGGGGAAGGGACATAAAAGGAGGATAAGTAGAGACCCTTAGACAATTAAACATAGAGTTGAACAAGCCGTCATTTTTTTAAAATAGTACTTGTAGAATGAATACATTGCAAGCAATTAAGGTCCCACTTTAAATGAATTGGCAGAAAAGGAAAATTACTTGAGATATAGACTTAAGGAGTCTCTGGGCACCCTTAAGAATTTTTTGTCTGTTTGGTTGGTTGTGTGTGTGTTGGGAGGGGAGGGTTGGTTTGTCTTTGTTTCTATTTTGTTTTGTTCTTCTTTTATCTTTCATCAATTCCCTTTCAATAAAAGGGATTTGTCATCACATTTTGAAATTTACAGCACACGATTGAATAAGCTTTCTCATCTGTTAGATCAGTAACTTTTGTTTTTGCATAGGATTATACTTGTACTGTCATGAACTAAAAGAGCCTCAATGGAGCTGTGCTTACAGTTTCAACACTCAAACATTTCCAACACATCCTATACACT